AAACACTTCAGCAAGCCAAAGGTTGCTGGGGAGAACCTGCCTTTAAATTAAGGAGCAACAAAAAACAAACACAGGCTGGATTAAATCAGCAAATTAGCACCTACAGCCAGGGGCTAAATCAAACCCAGCACTAGAATTTTGGGATGTTCCTTCAGGAGCCCTTCCTGGAGCAGCATTTTCCCTCCACTGCTTATCTTGGCATCACTTGGTGCTCAGCAGCAAACAAACCCTTGTGTTTTGGGTTGTTAGTGTGGGTTTGGGGTGTTCTGGGTTTTGTTTTGTGTAACCCCAGTTATTTTCTCCTTTCACCACAGTCAACTTTGGAGTCACAGCAGCATCAGTGGGTTGACTTAATTACAAGGCAGGATTTAAAAACCCCATCTCAAACCACTTCAGGATTAGACCCCTGAAGTGCTAAAATCCTTAAGGTCCCCCAGGATTTTCTTCCCAAACCACATCTCCCCAAATTCACAACTCCCTTCTGCCCATTCCTCCATCACCACATGGAATCCTGGGATGGTTTGGGAAGCTCCAAAATCCCACACCAGGACACAGCAAACACACAACATCCCTTTATTCACCATTTTAAGGGTCACATTGCTGAGTGGTCCCCTCAACACAGCCCTTGCTGGGGCAGGAGGTGACTTCCAGAGCACACCATCAACCAGAACATCCTCAAAAACCTCATTTCTAAGGAAACAATTGGACACAATCCTTGTGCAAGGCCAGGAAATCTAAAAAAAAACTGCCCTAAAGGGCTTTGTAAAGGTTTAATCCCTCTGCAGTGCTGCCCTAAAGAGAGAATTGTGGAATATCCTCAGTTGGAAGGGACCCACAAGGATCATCCAGTCCAACTCCTGGCCCCAAGAATCCCATCAGGATTTTGTACAGTGCACCCAGAGAAATAAATCCCACCTCATACTGCTCCAAACAAGGAGCACCCACATCCTTTTTGCTAAAAAAAAAAAAAAAAAGCCAAAATAATCCTATATTTAGTAAAGACACCAGTTCAGAGCTGCCCAACCCCCACCCACCCGGCTTGGGAGGCTCCAAACCCCAAGGACCTTCAGCCAAAGTGCCCTGGGAAGAGGAGGAGGAGGGGGAGGGGGAGGAGGAGACTCATTAATTAACAAAGCACCCCAACCTGGGAACCACCAACCAGCTGCCAAAGGGAGCCCCAAAGCAGAGCTCAGCTGGGCTTAGCTTAAAGCCAGTGACAGCCTGGAGGAAAATGGGGGGTCTGGAGAGGTGTGAGGTGAACATGTATTTGTGCAACCCCTGGTGCAGGAGGCAGCTGGTTTGGGGGATGTTGGATGATGATTCCCAAATTAATCCTGAGGAGCAGCTTGGCAAAGCCAGGGATTTCCAAGGATCCAGCTCCTCACTGACTGTGCTCAGGGGCACAAGGACAAGCTGCTTCCCTGCTCTGCTGGAGGGATGAACCAGGCAGATGTTCCCTTCTGAGTCCAGCTCTTTTAGGAGAAGACACTTACTGGGAACAAGCTGTTTTCTCCACTGGTGCCATATCCCAAATTTAAAGCAGAGCTTGACCCACCTGCTCTTATTTTCCTGAGCAAAAAGCCAGGAAAACACTTCTTGCAAGGGCTGTTTGGGGTTTAGGACCTGCAGCCACAATCTGGGGAGGTGGCAAAGCTTGAACCTGTTCCTGGTGCTGCTCAGAACTGATTTTATGCAGCAGGGAAATGGGATCCAACCCCTTGGCCAGGGTAGATGGAGGAACCAAACCCTCAGAAGCTGGAAAATCACCATCTCTGATGGTTCCCTGAAGGATAAGCCCAGTTTTTCCTCCCAGACAACCAGGCTTTGTATGTGTTTGATGTTCCACCAGCCCAGGGGACTGTGCTGGGAAACTCCAGTGGAAGAGGTTCCTGTCCTTGTAGAAAACACAACAGGAAAAGGCAAGGTTTGCTTCAGCTCTGGTTACAAAACCTGTCTGGAAGGGCTGAGGACACACATGAAGGAAAGGAAGGAGGGGGAATGTTGGAAGAGCCCAGTGAATTCACACCCAGAACAACCCTGGCACCTTCACAGAGACCCACAAGCGTTAATGAGCTGTCAAAATCCTGCAATAATCTGGTTTTGCTGAGCAATAAATTTGTCTTAGTATTGATTGATTGATTTCCTTTTCATGCAACCTCTTTCAAAACAACAAAATGTGAAATCCCCCCCCAGATTCCAACACCTCACAACCTGAAGATACCACTACAAACATTTTCCTTCCAGAGCCTTCTCTGATCCAGACTAAATTCCAGCTGATCCAAACATCAGCCCCAGTTCTAACTGATCCAGACATCAGCCTGAATTCCACTTGATTTGGATATCAGCCCCAATTCCAATGGATCCAGACATCAGTCCCAATTCCTACTAATCCAGACATCAGCCTGAATTCCAACTCCCTGCACAGCAGCAGCCAAGGAAAAAAGAGCTGGTTCTTTCCTCTAGGAGCTGAAAAGGCTTTGTCTCCCTTTTCCCAGTGGGAGAACTGAGGCAGGAGGCAGGAATGTGCTTCCTCAACCCTGCCTTGATCCTTGGGATGATCCTGCCAGCCTGGAGAAATTCAGGGATGGAGGGAGTGGGGAAGGATTCACTGGGAATAGCTGGGAATCTTCCCCCCTCCTCCGCCCCCAACCAGGGCGTCCTTGCCTTTGGGGTTCACCCTTTGCCAAATTTATGGCAATTCCCCAAAATAACGTGTCGGGGGCTCGGGGGGAAGGTGGGAAATGCAATTCCCGGCGAGCCTTTCCCAGCTCTCCCATTGCTCCTCCCGCATTTTTAAGCAATGCTGCCATCGAGTGGTCCGGGAGCATCGGGAAGAGCGCTCGGCCCCTTGCCTGGACCCCTCCGTGGTCACCCCCCAGCCCCTGAAACGGCTGGAAACGCAGAGCTTGGATATATTCCCGGTTGGAATGTGCCTCCTTCATCCATCCCCGTGTTGAAACGCTCAGTCTCCCTTCAACAAGCGACACGATGTTGGGGATTAAAGGTTTTCAGCCCCTCAGCTCCCTCCGGTGCCGGATCCCCCCATCCTCCCCACGCTCAGCTCTGCAATTCCAACCCCAGTTCCTCCCTCCCAGTTTCCAGGGAGCCGCGGCTTTACCTGGGAGCGGTTCCTCTTGCAGCAGCTCGGGAGGGAAGGCGTGATTTAGGAGCATCCTGAGCAGACCGGAGGGACAAGCTCAGCTTTGCTCGGCTCGATGTTCCTCCTCATTGCATTAGCGGATCCCGAGGGAGAGGCGCCTTCCCTGGCAGCAGCAACACGGAGTGTTGTGGTTTTGCCCACAATAAAAACCCAAGTAAATAAAAACCCCTGGAGGAGCACGTCAAAACCCCCCGTTTGGTGGATTTGAACCAGGCCTGTGGGAAGCTGCAAAGCCCTGTTTGCACCCTAATGAGATTCCAAATTCATGGCAAAACCGAGGTTTTAGTGGAGAAGGTTTCACCAGCCCTCTAATTGCTGTTTGCTTTGTGAGAGAAGGGGCACTAAAATGGAATGTCCTCTTTGCAGTGGAAGGAAACAGGTTGTGCTGGAGCGGGAAGAGCTTTTCCTTCTTTGGGAATTCAGTTATTTGTTTTGTTCACTGGGGTTGCAAAACACTCATGCACCACAATTGCTTGGAGAGATCCCATGGATGTTATATTGGAAGGCTTTATAATATATAAATATGATATATTATATACAATATATAAATATATAATATAAAAATATAACATATAAAATATATAAGCTTTACTATTATCAGGATTTTTCCCGATGACTTTTGAGAGTGTATTTGGCCCAGACCCCCATCATAAAATAAAATATAAAATATAAAATAAAATAATATAAAATATGTAAGCTTTGCTATCCTCAGGATGTTTAAATTCCCAGTGACTTTTGAGAGCGTTTTGGCCCAGACCTCCCTGAGTCCCCCAAAAAGGACACAAAGCACAGGAAGCTTTGGAGGGCAAAGTGGTTGGACGGGGATGAGGAGGAATGAAAACGGGGGGCGAGGGGGTCGGGGAAGCTGGAATAGCCCCTTCTAGGGGGAAGGCGGGAGTGGAGAGGGGAGAAGAGCTCCCCCGGGCAGGGTGGAGGGGACCAGGGGAGGGGACCAGGGGCTGGGGAGTGCCCTTCCCGTGCCGACTCTGCCCACCCGTCTCTGGCACCGCCCGCCCCGATTATAAAAGGCCCGGTAGTGCCTTGACAGCCGCAGTCGATTCGCGGCACCGGCTGCGACCCGAGGCTGCTCCGCTCCTGAATCCCGATCCAGGGGCGAACCGCATCCTGAACCGGCGGGAATCCATGTCCTGAACTGGCTGCATCCCGATCCAGCGGGGGACCCTCATCCAGAACTGGCTGCATCCCGATCGACGGAGGGGATCCGCATCCTGAACCGGCCGCACCCCGAACCGACTGAATCCCGATCCAGGGAGGATCCGCGTTCCGAACCGGCTGCATCCCGAAACGAGGAGGATCCGTGTTCTGCACCGGCTGCATCCCGAAACGAGGAGGATCCGTGTTCTGCACCGGCTGCATCCCGAAACGAGGGGAACCCGCATCCTGCGCCGGTCCCGAGCCAGGAGGCACCTGCATCCCGCATCCTGCTCCGGTCCTGAACCGGGGGCACCCGAATCCTGAACCGACTGCATCCCGCACCGAGGGGAACCCCCATCCTGCTCCAGCCCGGAGCCGGAAGGTACCTGCATCCTGGTCTGGTCCTGAACGGGCAGGACCCGCCCCGTGCTCTGGTCCCGAACCGGGAGGGACTCGCACCCAGAACCGGCAGGGACTCCCGCCTTGCTCCGGTGGGAAGGACCCGGGTCCCTGAATGCCCTGAATCGGGAGGAATCTGCACCCTGGTGAAGCTGCAGTCGAGCCCGGGGGGACCCGCACCCCAAACCAGCTGTGGCCAAATTAGGAGGGACCCACACCCCAAACCAGCTGTGCCCGAATTAGGAGGGACCTGCACCCCAGTCCAGCTGTGCACCCCAGTCCAGCTGTGCACCCCAGTCCAGCTGTGCCTGAGCTGGGAGGGACCCACACCCTAAACCAGTGAAGCCCTGGCATGGCTGGACACCCTGTTCTAGCTGCACCTGGAGACAGGAGGGTGCACCCCAAAGGGGCTGTACCCTGAACCAGAAGGGACCTGTGCCCTGGACCAGCCTTGCACCCCAAAACAGCTGCCCCTGGACTGGGAGGTGCCTGTCCTGGACCAGCCCTGCACCCCAAACTGGCTGCACCTTGAACCAGGAGGGACCTGCACTCCAAACCAGGTGTCTGCCCCAAACTTGTTGGCCCCTGATCCTGCTGTGCCCTGAACCAGGAGGGACCTACACCCCAAAGAATCTGTGCACTCTAAGCTGGAAGGGACCTGCACCCCAAAACATCTGTGTGCCCTAAACCAGGAGGAACCTGCACCCCAATCCTACTGTACCCTAAACCAGGACGGACTTGAACCCCGAAGCATCCCTGTGCCCTAAACCAGGAGGGATCTGCACCCTAAACCATCTGCGTGCCCTGATCTTGCTGTGCCCTAAACTGGGAGGGACCTGCACCCCAAAGCATCCCTGCACTCTAAGCTGGAAGGGATCTGCACCCCAATCCTGCTGTGCCCTAAAGCAGGAGGGATCTGCAGCCCACCCCATCCGTGTGCTGGGTCTGGCTCTGTGGGGACACGATGGATGATGCTCTGCCTGTGGAAGCGGAGCTGGAGCAGCAGTGGTTGTCCAACAGCTCCCTGAATGAGTCCCTGTCCAACCAGTTTGTGCAGCCCCCGTGGCAGGTGGCCCTGTGGGCCGTGGCCTACGCCCTGATCGTGGTGGTGGCGGTGGTGGGGAACGTGGTGGTGATGTGGATCATCCTGGCCCACAAGCGCATGAGGACGGTCACCAACTACTTCCTGGTGAACCTGGCGTTTGCCGAGGCCTCCATGGCTGCCTTCAACACCGTGGTGAACTTCACCTACGCCATCCACAACGAGTGGTACTATGGGCTCTTCTACTGCCGCTTCCACAACTTCTTCCCCATCGCTGCTGTCTTCGCCAGCATCTACTCCATGACGGCCATTGCCCTGGACAGGTGAGTGCTGAGGGTCACACCCTCCCCACAGGCCAGGTGTGGTTTGATGCTTAACAAGGCCAGGGGCCGGGTCCTGCCCCTTGGCCACAACAACCCCCGGCAGCCCCATGGGCTGGGCCAGAGTGGGGGGACAGAAAGGGACCTGGGGGGACTGAC